GTGTTTTCTCCACGCCCTCCCGCCCCGAGACGCTTCATCGACGGACTCATCTTCGGATCCACGCATCACCGAGCTTCTCGACGCCTACAACGACGTGTTCGAAGGCCCGCACAGAGTAGTACCGGATCGGCCTATCCGCCATGAGATCATCCTCGAGGACAGGGTCGTACCTCCGCGCGGTTGCATCTACCGAATGAGCGAGGAAGAGTTAAGTGTGCTTCGGGCACAACTCGACGACCTTCTAGAGAAAGGCTGGATTCGGCCTAGCTCATCGCCATACAGTGCTCCTATTCTCTTCGTCCGAAAGAAGAACAAGGACCTGCGGTTGTGCATTGATTATCGCAAGCCCAACGCGCAGACAATCAGGAATGTCGGCCCTCTCCCACGCATCGACGATCTTCTCGAGCGACTGGGCGGCGCCAAGTTTTTCTCCAAGCTGAACCTCAAGTCAGGGTACCACCAACTCGAGATTCGCAAGGAGGACCGTTACAAGACCGCGTTTAAGACGCGATATGGGCATTTCGAATGCCAGGTTATGCCATTTGGCCTTACGAATGCCCCGGCCACTTTCCAAGCAGCTATGACAACGGAGTTCCGACACATGCTGGATCATTTCGTACTTATCTACCTCGATGACATTCTGGTCTACAGCCGGAGTCTGGACGAGCATGTGGAACACCTGCGCACCGTTTTGGAGCGGCTACGACAAGCCAAGTACAAAGCCAACCGCGACAAGTGCGAATTTGCGCGGCAGGAGCTGGAGTACTTGGAACACTATGTGACGCCGCAAGGCATCCGTCCGCTTGCGGACAAGATCGAGGCCCTACGAGTATGGCCCGAGCCCACCAACACCACAGACGTTCGTTCATTAATGGGATTGGCGGGCTACTATCAGCGATTCATTACCGGATATTCCAGGATTGCTGCACCTATGACGAGGTTACAGTCGCCAAAGGTGCCATTCGTATTCGATGACGACGCACGCCGGTCATTCCAAGCACTTAAGACGACTATGCTTATAGCACCCGTCCTTAGCATCTATGACCCCACCTTGCCGACGAGAGTGACTACAGACGCTTCCGGCTATGGCATTGGGGCAGTCTTGGAACAGCACGACGGCGACGATTGGCACCCTGTGGAGTATTTCAGCCACAAAGTGTCTCCCATCAACTCGCTTGATGATGCAAGGAAGAAGGAGCTACTCGCGTTCGTCATGCCTCTCAAGCGATGGCGGCACTTCCTCCTTGGGCGTCGTAGGTTCACATGGGTTACGGACAACAATCCATTGACCTACTACAAGATGCAGGATACGGTGAGCAGCACGATCGGACGATGGATGTACTTCATCGACCAATTCGACTTCACACCGAAACATCTTCCCGGCCTCTCAAATCGCGCAGCAGATGCACTCTCGCGAAGACCTGGTATTTGCGCTATGACACATCATGCCTTCGCATTCGACGAGGAGCTTCAGTGACACTTCATCCGGGCATACCAGTCTGATCCGGACTTCGCCACGCTATATGCACAGCTATCTTCGGATCACCCGCCGGCCAGCCATTACCGCATTGCCGACGGGTACTTGCTCCTCCACTCGAGAGGTAAGGATTTACTGTGTGTCCCACGCGACCGTCGTCTTCGGACTCGCCTCCTCGGCGAGTATCATGATTCAAGACTCGCCGGCCATTTCGGAGTCAACCGCACTATTGCACGGCTTCGACAGCGATTCCGATGGCCTGACCTCATTACCGATGTCACTCGGTATTGCGACTTGTGCGAAGTTTGCCGACGCAGCAAACCCCGCAACCGCAATCCCTATGGCGAGTTACACCGAGGCCTATTCCACGGGAACCCGGTCTCTCCATTGCTATGGACGTCACCGGTCCATTTCCTCGCGACCGGCTCGGGCACGACGGCATCCTCATGGTTGTGGACCGATTGAGTAAGTACGTGCGTTTTCTCCCTTGCAAGTACTACTCCACGGCTCCCGAGCTGGCACRCCTCYTGCACACTGGTTGGATTTGTGGCCACGGTGTACCAGAAGACATTGTCAGCGACCGCGACACTCGTTTCATGTCAGCATTTTGGACTGCGCTCATGCAGGAGTCCGGCACGACGATGAAACCAAGTTCGGCTCGGCATCCACAGACAGACGGGCAGACGGAGCGGGCACATCAAACTGCTCAAATGATGCTTCGTACGCTCATCCGTCCGGACCATAAAGATTGGGTTGACCGCCTACCCGACATCGAGTTCGCCTACAACACTTCGGTGCACCCGGCGATCGGCGTGACTCCATTCGAGTTGCACCAAGGTGGACGGAAAGGCCGTATCTTCTCCGACCTTCTCCTCCCTCGACCAGCCGACATTGATGCCGCTTGCTCCCCCGCTTCCGTTCGGAAGTACAGGGACTTGCTGACTCAAGCCCGCGCAAACATGCAAAAGGTTCAAGTCCGCATGCAGCAGCAAGCCAACAGGCGTCGCGTACCTTGTCCTATCCGCGCCAGTGATCTGGTCAGAAGAGTTTGCACTGGAACATGATGTTTCACGCAAACTGCTTCCCAAGTGGTTTGGACCATGGTCTGTGACAGCAGCCGCGGGCGATGAGCCCGATGGCCCTTCATTTGTGATCAACATTCCAGAGCATCTGACGGTCCATCCAAGCTGGCAACTTACACGCCAGCCAAGAGCGACTACTTTCCGGGCTGACGATCGCAGGACCCTCCTTCTATGGATGGTCATCAGGAAGTTGACCGCGTCATCWCCGATCGCAAGTACGGCAGCAAGCCACGGCAGTACAAAGTCACATTCAAAGCATGCGATCGCGACGATACTCGGTGGATTTCAGGCGCAGATTTGAAAGCATCCGCATCGTTCATCTACGCGCATTATGAAAAGCGGAGATTAGCTCAGGAAGCTTCACGACCAGCCCCTCCCACCCGGACTGTGGTCCCTCCCTCAGACAGACAGCTTCGCCCTCGCAGGTAAGCTCGGTCTTTCAAGGAGGGGGGGGTGTGGCATACTGCGTAGCCACACGGGCCCTGCAGGGCCTGTCCCGGACATTCAGCCTAAAAGCCTAAAACTTAGGGCTTACAGGCCCCGGTCGTTTCAGCCTGAAAGCTGAAAAACGAGGGCCTGCAGGCCCTACTCCGTTTCAGCCTATTTCTGGGTCTTTCAGACCCAGAGTTTTTCCAGCCTGAAACGGAGGGCCATTTTCAGGCCCTCATTTGTTTCGACCTGCCCTAAGACTCAGGCACGAATACAGGGTTTCGAAACAGGCCAGAAATAGCCTGTTCCTCACGAGCTCGAGCAGGAGCTGCAGCTGCAGCCCCTGCCTCCCTTCGGCATTGGCAAGAGCAGCCTCCTGGACTGCTCGCACGAGTCAGGAGGCACACCCGGTAGTACATAGGAAGTTCCCATGCACTTCACGGGGAGGTAGTTGGANGAGAGAGAGAGAGAGAGAGAGAGAGAGAGAGAGAGAGAGAGAGAGAGAGAGAGAGAGGAAGATAGCGCTGGCAGGGAGAAGGCAGCCATAGCTGCACCAGTGCAGAAGAGTTAGTGCTAGTTGTTAGGAATAGACTCCAGTGGGCTTAGTAGAGTTGACAGTGGGTGTATTCAGAGTAGATCCATGAAGTAGTAGATAGTGAGTGTGAATGCATGTAGGGAGAGAAGATATAGCGAGGTCATAGCTAGGGAGAAGACCAGCAAGGTGGAGAGAAATATAAGAGGGAAGACCGGACATCCGGAACGGGTTCCAGACAGTCCGGGTCCGGTGTCCGGTACGTGATGTCCGGATGGAGGCCCCCAGGACAAAAAACAAAAAAGAAGGCGCGGCCAGGACGTTTAGTCTTGAGCCTGCTTTGCACTGTTTGCAACTCTGCATGTCTGCTGGTTGAATGCACTTGTTGATTTGCTGCAAGACACGTGCTCTGCTGCCTGAACTACGAAGTGTTCTGCCTAAGCCCCCCCCCAAACCCCCACCCCTACCCCGACCCCCACCCCTTTTTTTCTTTTTTTTCGGTCTGGACATTTTTGACCCCCTGACACCGGTCCGGACTGTCCGGGGCCGGGGACATCCGCGTGTCCGGTCCGGTGATCACCGGACACATCGGACCGGTCCAGATACTGGTCCGGACGACAGTCCGGATGTGGCATACTGCGTAGCCACACGGGCCCTGCAGGGCCCGTCCCGGACATTCAGCCTAAAAGCCTAAAACTTAGGGCTTACAGGCCCCGGTCGTTTCAGCCTGAAAGCTGAAAAACGAGGGCCTGCAGGCCCTACTCCGTTTCAGCCTATTTCTGGGTCTTTCAGACCCAGAGTTTTTCCAGCCTGAAACRGAGGGCCATTTTCAGGCCCTCATTTGTTTCGACCTGCCCTAAGACTCAGGCACGAATACAGGGTTTCGRAACAKGCCAGAAATAGCCTGTTCCTCACGAGCTCGAGCAGGAGCTGCAGCTGCAGCCCCTGCCTCCCTTCRGCATTGGCAAGAGCAGCCTCCTGGACTGCTCGCACGAGTCAGGAGGCACACCCGGTAGTACATAGGAAGTTCCCATGCACTTCACGGGGAGGTAGTTGGACATTAGTCAGGTAGTAGTCTTCAGGATAGCGGAGCAGCACTCAGTAGGAGCGCTGCCCAGGGCAGCTTAGCGCTAGTGTAGTCTTCAGCGCTGGGCGCCATAGCTGTAGTCTTCAGCGCTGGGCGCTATGGCAGTAGTAGTAGTAGTAGTGATATGCGAGAGAGGTGACTGGCGGAGGCCAGTGGTACTTACCTGTGGCGCCATCGCTCCAGCTCCATCTTCAAGGTACCTGCATCACAGCGCCACCTTCACAGGTTAGTACTGGACTGAGAGAGAGAGAGAGTTCTTCTTCTTCCTCTTCTAAGTCCACCATCTCTTCTTCCCCTCTCGCTGCCTACTTCTCAGTATCTGTGGACTACGAGAGAGAGATATGACCTGAGACTTGACGACATTGGATACAGACTCGACATTTGGGATTCAGACATTTTGACGAGGGACTATTTGGGCCTGTGCCGAAGACTTGGTGTTGACGACATTCCCATCTTTCCCTCCTCTTCGTCTAACCCCCCTCATCTTCGTCTATGTATGTGTGGGGCTGGCGCAGTCTTCCTGTGTGAAGCGCCAGACCCCTTTCACACTCTGGGATGATGATGATGAGGTATGTCAGGGCTGCATTGCAACATTGATTGGTCGGATCATTGGTATCTAAGTCTTCCGTTTGCACCATCTTGTACTTTGCATTGAGAGGTCGGTTCTTGTTCTGGTCTGCACGTTACAGTATGCAACACCGGACCAGTGTCCGGGTCCGCGGTTACCATGATGGTTAAATCAACTTAAAAGTTAAATGCCCATTTTAACGAAATGGCTGTTACTATTGTCTTTCCGCCCCTGTTGCCTATCCCGTTTCTTTTCAGCGAAATGCAATGTTTTTTTTCTCTTCTTTTCTTTTTTTATTCCCTGAGAAAAGCCAGCCTCCCCCTAGCAGGAGGTACCTGAATGCAATGTGTTCGGAGATGTTCCTCGTCTACCTTTAGGACCTCGAATGTTTTTTTTAAAAGGTTGGTCTAACTTGGTGGACATCCTGCAACGGTGTCAATTTTCCTTGTGCGTCCCATCTGCTTCATGCATGCACGCTGTGCGGACATGGAATTGGTGTTCATGTCCCATTTTCCTTGTCTGAAGGCAGGCCTGCAACCAATTGACAGAACCTGTTTTTTTTAATATCTGGGCCGTCGCCCGGCCTGGCGCGCCTGGGCCAGTTGGGCCGAAGGGGGGTCGCCCGGCAAAACCAGACGAGTCAAAAAAGAGGCAAGGATCCCAAAAAAAAAAAAAAAGGACTTCAGGCCAGGGCTGCGCTTCACCTAAGCAGTCAGAATCCGGTCTTTACTTCGATTTTGGTGATGGGTCATCCAGGGGGGTTGGGGGGTATAAACAGTGACGAAAGGGGTTTAAAACAGTGCTAAATACCCGGTCCTACCGGGGGGTCCACCCCCAACCGGAACCGGGCCGGTGGGACCGGCTGGTCGACCGGCCCGGTTGGCCCCCGGTAGGCTATAGCGCATTCCCAAAAAAAGGCCGGTTCGAATTTTTAATGGGCCAGGAGGC